TAGTATTAGCAAACTTGATGTCGAACAACTTGTCTATCTCAATGATCATTATTTTCTCAATTAATATTTTGGAAGTTATTTAAAGTTACAATGAAAACAGGAGATATTTTTATCAAAATATAATAAATTTATTTTATAATAATAATGAAATGAAGCACATTAAAAATTCTTAATAATATTTAAATGATTTTATAAAATTATACAAGCTTCTATTACTTGCGCAAGAGTAAATTGGGATTTATTTTTATTGTTTTCTTCTGAGATACCGCTACTAGTTGATGGATTATAAACTACTACAATTTGCTTTTTCAAATCTTCAAGCTCATTTTCTAATTTTTCTATGCCCGTCATGTACTCTTTTATTCTAACATTTAATTCAACTAAAATTGGTGGATAATGAATCTTTCCACAAGTATTCAAATGTTTTAGTATTTTTTTTCTTGATTCTTCTCGGATTTCTTCTGCACCTCCCTTAGTACGATGTGTTATTGGTGGATTATCTACATGAATAAGCTTTTTACATTCATTAATTATTGTAGAAAGTTTGTCATTTTCCATAATCATATCTAAACGATCTTGTTCACACTCAGTATCATCTTCAAAATCTGGAAAATTAGTTCTAACTATAGTTGTAAAATCAACAATATCTTGACCAAAAATAAATTGTAATAAACAATAAGCTTCAATTTCCTCTTCCCTAAATCTTCCATTGGTGACAAATAAAATTTGATTTATTCCACCTTTAATAACATCAACAGTTTCTGCAAAGTTATATAATATTTCTTGACAAGTTAACCTTCTATCACCAAACCCCATTGTATCAATCGCTTTCATATTATTATTATTATTGATTACATTAGCTAAAGTCGTTTTCCCACTTCTTTTTCTGCCAAATAACAATACCGTTATAGTTTCTTCGTTTTTGGTTTTCTTATTTGTTTCTTCGTTTTCATTTGAAGAGGTTTCATCTTTAAATGTGTTTACCAATGTGCCATCATTTTCGGCTTTCTTATTTGCCATTTTTTTTTATTTTCACAATTAAAAAACCAGTGTGTGTGTATATATATATCGTTGATTACAAATACAGTCGACCACTCTATAATTCACACCCTTTGGGACTGGAAACAAGTGTGATTATAAAAAGTGATTATAAGGAGGTTTTCTTTATAAGTTTATTAGTAAGTAGTTAAGTTTGGTCCTGTTTTAACCAAATAGGGAAAATTGTTTTTTAAGCTTTTCAAATGGCGTTAACTTGTCACTATTTGGTTTTTTTTAATATCAATTTGGAACGGTCCCTTAAATGGGTTTTTCGAAATAAATTTTTTTTGTAAATTACAACGGTATGACAGAGTTAATACTAACAGGGGATTAAAAAAAATTTTGTATTAAAGATCAGTTACATTCTCGTGAAGGACAACAAATACGCATTTTTTCTGTGAATTTATCTCATTATTATTTTTTTTAAAAAAAAGCGAGGGGATAAAGCACGCAGGAAATTCTCCATTGAAAGTTGAAAAACTTGTTCACCCACCTAAGGTTGCTTGCCGAAATCTCTTAATGACTACCGAAACTCTGCTGAAACTCTAATAAACAATTAGTGTGCAACATGTCTAAACTCTGCCAATTGGTTTCTGGAGGAGTTTTGGCAAGCAACCATACACTTCCCGAGTAAGAGCTCGTTTGCAATTAGGATTAAAGAATTTGGCCATGACTTTATGTATTTCTCATGATTTTCTTTGGCGTAATTTTAATAATTGTGAAACTGGTTTCGCTTGATGCTTGACTTCGATAAATATAGTCATAGTCTATAATAAATCACGATTATCCTAAATTCCCAAATGATCCTGGAACATGAAGTGTGTTTTGATATAAAGTTTATATGGAGGTGTGCCTTCTAATTGAAAAATGAATTTTGAAGTCGTTTCTTTCTATTAAAAAAATTCATATGGATTTTGCAGAATGAAAACTCAATTTTAGTCCGAAAACCTTAAAACCAATTTTTACTATCATATCATATACATTATTTTTATTTAAAATATAAAAACATAAAATAAAAAAATATGAAATACACAAAAATTGTAATATAAATTAATTATTTATAAAATTATGCATTTCCTTTCTTCTAATTTCTTAATTCTTTCCTCAAGTTCTCGTTGTTCATCCGCTGCTCGTCGTTGATCTTGTCCTTGTCTTTGTCGTTGCTCATTTGCTTCCTTCAATTTTTGTCTCAGGTCATTTATTTCATTCTGTAATTTTTCTTTATGCGTCGTAAAACCTTTTAATTTTTCATTCACAATTTCCTGTAACTTTTCTGGAACATAAATTTTTGTGCAAGCGTTTAAATAGTTTCGTAATCTTTTTCTTGATTCTTCTTGGGTCTCTTCTATACCTTGTCTAATACGACGTGATATTGGTGGATTATTTACATGAATGACCTTTTTACATGATTTAACAAATTCAGAAATGCCATCATTTCCAGAAGCCATATCTTGGTAATCCTTTTCACATTTGGCATCGTCTTCAAAATCAGAAAAATTTGTCCTGACAATAGTTGTATACTCAAAAATATTTTTATCAAAAGCGGCTGATTGCAATATTTCAAAACATTCAATTTCTAGATCAGTAAATCTTCCATTAGTAACAAACAAAATCTGGTTTATTCCATATTTAATAGCTTCAGCAGCCATAACCAATTTGTTAATTATTTCTTTTGATGACGTTTTAGTGTCTCCAATTCCTACAGTATCAACTATCTTGTATACATTTCCATCAATTGCATAATTGTTAACATTAATATCTTTGGTCGAACTAACTGAACGATGGCCTACATCAAAATCATCCGAACCGCTGATTACATTTGCCAAAGTCGATTTTCCACCTCCTGTACCTCCGATCAATAATATCGTTATAATATCGACAGTTTTATTGTTTTTATTGCCTTTACTATCATTCATATTTGAAGAGTAAATTTTATTATTTATCAAATGTCAAAAAATCGCTTTGTTTATTTATACCGCTAAAAATTTTAAAATACCCCACCCCAAAATTTTTTAATTTTAATTTACAACAATATCATGTCTATTTGATTATTAAAATTTTATCTATGGCATGTCATCAAAAAATATAAGATCAGTCCTGTTTTATTTTACGAGGCTTGAAATCTAATTCAAATTTATCAAGAAAGTTTTTCCCTTTATATAGTTAAAGGAATAAACAATATTAATGATTATTCAATTCTTTTATAGCATCAGTCTGTATTTATAACCTGCCAAAAAGTATTAAATCTTGTGACTTGTTATTTTAAGTAAAGATCTTTGAAAGGTTCAAAGATATTATTACTAATACTTAACGCCTAATAAAGTTTTAATATGCAAATAATCATAATAACTTGAAAATACTGATTCGTGTGAGTTTTTGTCCATTAAAAAATTGCAATGAAGGATTGAGGAAGTCGCTTATTTTTATATAATATATAATATTTGTTATAGAAAGGTTTTCGAAATTCAATGATGATTAGTTTCAGTGTATTTTAAACAATAATTCTACAACTCGATGTTTTGATTTACCAGATCAAAAAGGTCTGGAAGGCCACTAAAATTCGCATCGAAACTTGTATAAAACATTTGTTATCTTTTTAAAATTACCCAAATACTTCTTCCATATCTCGTAAAGAATAGATAAAGAAAAGTGCATTATTCTTTAAAAGGTAATTTTTAGAAAATCTGTTTGTTTGGGATTAGTCGAAAATTTTAGACTCGATTCGAAATGTTAATATCAATATTAAATTGATTATCAAAATCGAAATGTAATCAATTATGTATTTTCATTATTTACTCTCATTTTATTATATTTGTTATGTAATCTATGATCAATCTGTTTACTTGGGTTTCGCTCATAAAACTATCATCAATTATTCAATATTTCTGGATTTGCGTGCTTTCAAAGCAGTTCTCTTTGGAATAAGTTTTGGTTTAAGAACAAATTTCGATTCAATAACCCACATCAGATCAACTCTTAAGTCATTCGTTAGTAAAAGCTTATTTAGTCTCAAAGAATAAAAAAATTATGATAAACCTATTTGATGATCCTATCAATTATTTCAAGACGATCTTTGTTATGTGGGATTTTTTAATGGACAAAAAATCAGTATTTTTAAACGGCTTTGATTTCTCAAAAACTAGGTTTTATTAGGCGTTAACTGTTAATATTAAGTAATAACAATACAAGGACATTTTTATCCAATGACTAATTATATTTTCTTTTATCTCGGGAAGTCTAACGAAGAATACAAATCCAATTTTACCCATTTTTTTTATTAAATGTTAATTTCAAAAGTTGCCTTCCTTGTATATAAAATGTTACATGATAAAATAACGATAGAAAAGCTTATTTATTGATTTTCACATGACTATAAATTCAAATTTATGCAACATCAGATTGTGGTTTGGAGGTGCACTGACTACGATAACCTATTGATAATATTGATAATATCAATTCTATCTATGAAAGTAGTCAGATATTATTCCATAAAGTGATTGCTTTGCCACATTTCTGTTAATTATCTTTTGTACGTATGTGTCATCAGAGTTGTAAGTTTATTATATCAAACTCACTGGCATTAAGTCAAAAATAATGAAAGCAAAAACCTTGACACAGGTCAAACTCTTGACTTGAGTAAAAATCATTACTTAAGTAAAAACTTCGATGAATCAAATTGAAATCGAATTACTCCATGTTTGACAACATCCAAGAGAGAACCCATCATGGACCTAAAAACCGGCACACAGCATTGCCATAAACTGGCTGATCTTAATATGAAATTTACTGCAGATTCAGGAGCATTTGTAGTCTTCTGTATGAGAAAATATCGATGCATATTTTATATCTATCCTACCTGCACTTCCACACAAGGCAAGATTTAAGAAAGAAGATAAAAATGAAATTCAAGATAATTTTAAGCACAACTCGTTTATCATTGCGAACTTAAATTTAGCTCTACCAGTCTGACACGAGTTTGTTGTCACATTTTTACTGGATAATGTATGACAAAACTTTTGGCTTTAGCCATTGACGTGACTAAAGTATTGACTAAAGGTAGTGGGCATTCATTTTCATGTGGATATACCACGTGACACGAAGATTAAAATAAAACTTGTCTAGCTTAATATTAATAGCTAACCATAATCATTATTCTCTGTATAAATATTTTCAACCACAATCCTATTTAACAAAAAAATTTTTATTTATCAGATTTATGATGAAAAAAACAAGTACAAAAATTCTGAATTATATAAATTGTACGCATTATATAAGCTATATAAGAAAAAGGTTTTTTTAGTTGTATACGAATGGACCCCTCTTCTTTTTCTTCTGAGATATCGCTACTAGTTGATGGATTATAAACTAATACCATTTGCCTTTTCAAATCTTCAAGCCCATTTTCTAATTTTTCTATACACATCGTGTACTCTTTTATTCCAACATTTATTTCAACTAAATTTGGTGGATAATAAATGTTTCCACAAGTATTTAAGTGGTTTAATATTTTTTTTTCTTGATTCTTCTCGGGTTTCTTCTGCACCTTCCTTAGTACGACGTGTTATTGGTGGATTATCTACATGAATAACCTTTTTACATTCTTTAATTATTGTAGAAAGTTTGTCATTTTCCTTAATCATATCTAAACGATCTTGTTCACACTCAGTATCATCTTCAAAATCTAGAAATTTAGTTCTAACTATAGTTGTAAAATTAACAATATCTCGACCAAAAATAACTGATTGTAACAAATAATAAGCATCAATTTCCTCTTCTCTAAATCTTCCATCGGTGACAAATAAAATTTGGTTAAATCCGTCTTTAATATCATCGACAGTTTCTGCAAAGTTAAATAATATTTCTTGAGGGGTTAACCTTCTATCACCAATCCCGATTGTATCAATTGCTTTCATATTATTAATATTATTGATTACATTAGCTAAAGTAGTTTTTCCACTTCTTTTTCTACCAAATAATAATACTGTTATAATCCTAATTTCTTCATTTTCAGGTTTCTTAATTGTTTCTTCATCTTCATTTGAAGATGATTCATGCTTAAATGAGTTTGATAATGCGTAATCATTTTCGGTTTTTTTATTTGCGTTCAAAGATGCCATTTTTTTTTATTTTCACAAAAACCAATGTGTGTATATATATATATCATTGATTACAAATACTAATTTAAGGATAAATTTTAGTCCTGTTTTAGTCTAATAGAGAAACTTATCTTTTCATTCTGACGTAAATGATATCATAACAATATGTATGGCAGAGTAGGGCTAACAGGAATTAAAAAAGTTTTGCACAGTTACAGCATTGGGTTTTTCTGTGAACCTCATTATTTTTTTTTAAGGGGGTGAAATTCTCGATTGAAGGTTGAAAAATTTGTTCATTCATCCACCTTCCCAAATAAGGGCTCGTTTACGGTTTAGGATTGAGGAATTTGGTCATGACTTTATGTACTAACCATGCTTTCCTTCAGCATAGTTTTAATAATTGAGAAACTAGCTTCACCTGATGCTTTCCTGGAACTTGAAATGTAGTTCGATATAAAAGTTTATGAGAGGTATGCTTTTTGATTGAAAAATGACTTTTGGGTTGTTTTAAAAATTCAGTTGGATTTTGCGGAAATGAAAACTCAATTTTGATCGAAGGACCTTAAAACTAGTTTTACTATCATCCAATGTATTTTATTTTCATTTAAAATGACAAAAGAAAAAAAAAATATAAAATACATTTTTTTTAAAAAAATTGATATACATATATGTTTTAGGAAATAAAACATTTCCCTTGATTTCTTCTTCGAGTTCTCGTCGTTTCTTACTTGCTGCTCGTCGTTGTTCGTCTCGTAGTTCATTTACTTCATTCAATTTTTGTCTCGGAACATTTATTTCATTCTGTAATTTTTCTTTAAGTGTCATATAACCATTTATTTTTTCATCCACAATTTCTTGTAACTTTTCTGGCATATAAACTTTTGTGCAAGTGCTTAAATAGGCCAGTAATCTTTTTCTTGATTCTTTTCGGGTTTCTTCTACGCCTTGTTTAGTACGAAATGTTATTGGTGGATTATCTACATGAATGACCTTTTTGCATGATTTAACAAGTTGAGAAAGGTTATTATTTTCAGAAGTCATATCTTGGTAATCATTTTCACATTCAGCATCATCTTCAAAATCAGGAAAACTTGTCCTGACAATAGTAGTATACTTAAAAATACTTTTATCAAAGGCGACTGATTGTAACGTTTCAAAGTTTTCAATTCTACATCGGTAAATCTTCCGCTTGTGACAAACAAAACTTGATTTATTCCATATTTAATAGCTTCAACAGCCATGACTAATTTTACTTACTACTTTTTTTGGCGACATTTTAGTGTCTCCAATTCCTACGGTATCAACTATTTTGTATACTTTTCCATCAACCGGGTAATTGTGAATATTAGTGTCTTTGGTTGAACTAGTTGAACGATGACTTACATCATAATTTTTAGAATTACTGATTACATTTGCCAAAGTTGATTTTCCACCTCCTGTACTTCCAATTAATAAAACAGTTATTATATCGACTTCTTTATTATTCTCATTATCTTTATCATCATCATTCATACTCAAGTATCTAGGTTTGTTTTCGTATGACATTGTTGTTATTTATTAAATATCAAAAACCCATTTTACTTTTATTTAAAAATTTTAAAATCATTTGCATGAAATCTCGTCATTTAAAACTTGTTTAATTACTAAAAAGTTTATCTATAACACGTCATATATGCTTATTAAAAAAATACTAGAGGCTTAAAATTCTAATTTAAATTTATCAAGAAATACAGACTGGTGTTATAAAGAATTGAATAATTTTTAATATTGTTTATTTTTCTTTTGATCTTTCATTGCATTTCTTGTTGGTTTTCGAGCCTCTTTTATTTTGAAATATTTGACATCTTTTGATTTGTAATCTGCTAACAAGTTTCGGGACAAATGAAATCTTGCGCTTTATGCAAAAACGTCACTTGTAAAAATATTTGAAATCAGAAGGTATTATTACACATGTAAACTCGATAAGTCGGTCATTTATTTATATTATCAGGTACTTGAAACAATTTATACAATTTATTGCTACGTCCGACTTATCAAGTTTACATTTGTATTACTAATACTTGACTCCTAATGAGATTTTAACATGAAAATAATCACAATCGTTTTGAAAATATTGTTCGTATGAGTTTTGTCATTAAAAAATTACAATTGAATTTAGTTAACGATTGAGTAAATTTCTCATGTCATAATTTAATCGAAAATTTTCCTTTAAAAAAAATATTGAAAATCATAATTAAATAAATAATAAATACCTTCTTAGCTTCAGGATTCAATCTCCAGATTCAAAAAGGCCTGAAGACAATCAAAAGTCGTATCGAGAGCTATAAAACGACGTTTGTTTTTCTAAATTATCGAATATTTATTTTCCTTATCTTCTAGTTTTACTTTCCTTGTTAAAAAGTAAACCTCTAGAAAATCTACATTTAATTTCTGTTTCGATTTTCAATTTCAGTCAAAAATTTTAGGTTCGATTCAAAATGTTGTGAAACTAATACTAAAATTGACTATCGAAATCGAAACAAAACTATTTCGTCGTCGTCATTGTCAATTTTATTTTTTATTTTTATTTGTCATGTACACATGTAAATTAGATAATTCGGTCATTATTTATATTATCAATTGATTGTTGCGTCCGACTTATCGAGTTCACATGTGTATTTTATGTTTGATTTGTTTCCCTGGATAAAATCAGATTCCACTGATAAAGTTATTATTCTCTTGGACAAAATAATGGTTCCCACAAGTTTCTGCTCAACAAACCCATATCAAATCAACTCCTAAACCATTTGTTAAAAGCTGATCTACTAAATTATTTCAAGAAAAGTTATAACGATATTTTATTGTATTATGTGCTATGTGTGATTATTTATTTATTTGTTTCTCGAATTAGATTTTATTAGGCTTTAATAATAAATAGTTTCGACCTTTTTTCACATTATATATACTAGAATAATTTTATCCAATAATTAATTAATTCTATTTTTCTTTTATCTCAGGCAGTCTAATGCATTAAAAAACAATTTGAAATCACATCAAAAGAAAATAAAATCGAATTTTACTATTTCTAAAGGTATTTTTATATATAGAAAAAGATCTCTTTTTATTAAATACCAATTTCAAGGTTACCTACCTTCCTTGTGTATAAGATGTTACATGATATAATAAACAATAGAAAAGCTTATTTATTAATTTTTACATGACTGTAGATTTTAAATTTATGCAACCTCATAATGTGCCTTGAATTTGCATTGACTATCACAACTCGATACCAATTCTACCTATAAAAATAGATATTATTCCGTAAAGTGATTGCTTTGTCACATTTCTGACAATTATCTATCTTTTGGATATCGAATTATCTTGATTAATGTCATCAGAGTTATAAAACAATTACATCAAGTTAAAAATAATGAAAGTAAAAGCCTTGACATAAGTCAAAACTCTTGACTTGAGTAAAAAAGTAAAAACTTTGACAATCAAATTGATCATTGAAATCGAATTACACTTCCAGGGTTTAGGATCAACATTCTAAAAAGTTTTAAGAGGGAACCTATTATGAATCCAAAACCCAAACTTGTTCCAGGTCCACGGCATTGCCACAAATTGGTCAACAAGTCCCAATCTCAATGTGAAATTTACTGCATCGAAGATATAAGGAGATAAGAGCATTGTAACCTTCTGTATGATAAAGATATCGATGCATATTCCATACCTTTGCTTGGTGCAAGGATAAACTTAAAAGTATCCTGAATTTCATTTTATTTTTTATATCTTTTTTTTAAACTTGCCTCGTGTGATAAGTGTGAACTTAAATTTAGCTCTGCCAGTCTGGCTCGAGCTTATTGTCGCACTTCTGCTAAATGATGTATGATAAACTTTGGGCTTTAGTCATTACCATGACTAAAGCATTGGTTTCTCACCAAATGTATTCATTTTCGAATATTAAAATTGTAATTTTTTTTGTTTCAGCCACCCGTCACTTTTTTAGTATTAGCAAACTTGATGTCGAACAACTTGTCTATCTCAATGATCATTATTTTCTCAATTAATATTTTGGAAGTTATTTAAAGTTACAATGAAAACAGGAGATATTTTTATCAAAATATAATAAATTTATTTTATAATAATAATGAAATGAAGCACATTAAAAATTCTTAATAATATTTAAATGATTTTATAAAATTATACAAGCTTCTATTACTTGCGCAAGAGTAAATTGGGATTTATTTTTATTGTTTTCTTCTGAGATACCGCTACTAGTTGATGGATTATAAACTACTACAATTTGCTTTTTCAAATCTTCAAGCTCATTTTCTAATTTTTCTATGCC